CAGCGCAGCTGCACTGGGATGTCCTGCTGGGGATGCCTCCCAAACAGAGCAAACAGGGATGCCTGTCTTCTCCTAGAGTAACATTAGAGCACAGGACATTGCAGGGCTTTCCAGAAAGAATTTCACAGCCTTCCAGGAAAAACAATAGGTTTGGTGTTCAAAATTTCATGAGTTGCTGGTCAAAAAAGGGAAGATTGTGTCAGTGGGGAACAAGACGTGGAAGAGAGAGCATCCCAGGGGCACCACAATGTCCAGGGACGCCACAGAGATGAGAGCCGTGGTGATGACATACATATATGGATTTTCATCCATTGGCTCAGTGCCAGGAAGAATATTTAGAGTTTATCAAAATTCTTAGGTTGTCACTGGTTAAATAACTGTATTTGGGTTTAGTAGCAGAGGAGCTGTGGGGGTGGCTTCTGTGAGAAGCTGCCAGAAGCTTTCCCAATGTCCAACAGAGCCAATGCCAGACAGCTCCAAGACAGACCTACTGCTAGCCTTGGCTGAGCCCATCAAGGACAGTGCTAGCACCTCTGGGGTAACAGAGTTAAGAAAGGGGAGGAAAAACCTGGCAAAACAGCAAATGGAGACAAGAGTGGGAATATGTGAGAAAAACAGCCCTGCAGACACCAAGGCCAGTGAAGAAGAAGTGGGAGGGGGTGCTCCAGGAGCAGATGGATGCCAGAAGGAGGTTATGACCATGTGGGAAGCCCATGCTGGATCAGGCTCCTGGCAGAACCTGTGGCCCCATGGAGACAGAAGCCCAGCTGGAGCAGGTTTGCTGGCAGGACTTGTGACCCTACGAGGGACCCACGCTAGAGCAGTTCATGCAGAACTGCAGCCATGGGAAAGATTCACACGGGAGAAGTTCATGGAGGACTGTCTCCCGTGGGAGGAACCCCATACTGGAGCAAGGGCAGAGTGTGAGGAGTCCTCCCTCTGAGGAGGAAGCAGTGGCAGAGACAACATGTGATGAACTGACCACAGCCCCTATTCCCTATCCCCCTGTGCCGCTGCTGCGTAGAAGGGAGAGAAAATCAGGAGCAAGGTTGAGCCCGGAAAAAAGGATGGGGTGGGAGGGAAATGTTTTTAGGATTTTGTTTCATTTCCATTGTCCTACTTTGATCTGATTGGTAGTAAATTAAACTAATCTTGCCCTGTCTTTATCTCAACCCATGAGCCTTTTGTTATATTTTCTCTCCCCTGTCCAGCTGAGATGGGGAGTGATAGAGCTTTGGCAGGCACTTGGTACCCATCTGGGGTCAACCCACCCCAATAACAAAGTCAACATTTTCTTTTTCCGTAGGATTTTTTTCCCCAAAGTTCTTTGGTTATTTTGAAAAGGCATCAAGTATGTGGCACCTGAATTGGCACCATGTTATGGTGCTGTAAAACCATGGAAAAGCAGAGCAGTGAATCAGGTGCCCAGTCTCAGTAGCCCTCACAAATTTTTGTTCGGGCCATCATGGAATTCAAATAACTATTTGGAACACAGAAAATGAAGATGAAATGCATAAAGAACCATAAGAGACTTACAGAAAGGCACACAGCATGACCAAATCCTTCTCATTTTTAATATTCCTATTTCTCCTTCTAAACTTTTTCTTTAAACTGAAAAATAATGAGAAAATGTGCTTCCTTGAGACAAGCCAGTACTATCAGCTAAACAACCTCACATTCACTGTAGCACTCCAAGTGCTCTGGAATGCTTTTCAGCCCAGAGGATAATAGTATTAGACGACCAGAAAGGCTGTCCTGTAAAAGACTGTTATTATGATTTCCAGTCTCAGAAGTTGGCTTAATCCAGCTGAGCACACACATGTTATTTAGAGAGGAGACTGGGCTCAGACACTTGTATCATCATCATCTTTATTGCAAATGAAGGGTTCAGCCAGTGAAAGGCAAATCACGGTTTTTTGTCCTAAGCCCTGCAAACACTGGCTGTTGCACTTGTCTTTGCACTCTGCAGCAAGAGTCTGGAGCTGCTGAATGCTGAGCTGTTTGCACAGATTTGCATCTGTCTAAAAAATCCTGTTTTCTCTCTTGTCACCTAATCAATCAAATGGCAAAAGATGCACTCCCTGCACCCTCCAAGGAAAACAGCTCTGTGCCCACACAAAAGGTAAAGCATGAGCATAGGGGTTAATGAGACGTGGTAAGCTGTGAACCGTGTAACAGGAACATTTTTTTTCTTTTCTGTCTGCCTGAAATTTCATGCTGCTCTTCCTCTGTCTGTGGAACAAAAGAAGAAGAGGCAATGGTGCTCAGAGTTGGGAAAAAAACAATCTGGGATTGTTCCCTGCATGAGAAAAATATGTTTGGAAGATTACTTGAGGGATTTGTACCTTGACTTGAGCAGGGAATGCTGCACAGCTTCTCTCCTGGGGTTTAGGCAGAACAGCTCCCTCCCAAAGGACCAGTTCTCCCACCCACACCTTCCCAGGTGAGCAGGACCCAATTCACACCCCAGCCATCCAAGGACTGGCAGTTGAGCACCAATCCCTGCAGATCAGCTCGCAAATGGCATCATTGCTTGGAATTGTTGGAATCTGCCCGTGCCAAAACCCAACAGGGACACTGCTGCTCTGTCAGTAGGGGGGGGGGGGTGAGCCCTCTGACCCCACCCTGTTTGCCCCAGCAGGGATATTGCACTTCATTACACAGCACCTGGAGTGAAGGTTCCTCTGTGAATATCCAGCATGGCTGAATTCCACCTATTCAGTCTTTCACCAATATTGTCTTTGCTGACGCTCCTCCTCAACACCACACCCTGAGCTGCACTTTTGCTTGTCAAAACAGCTTGGCCTCCCTCTGTCCTTCCAGTCACCTCCCAAAGAAGGAGCCACTAGGCAGTCAGGTGAGTGTCAGGATGGGAGGGGCAGCAACTTCCCCACCTCGGTCTCAGGGGAAGCAGCTCAAACAAATTGAAACCCCAATGAGCATCATCTCTTCCCAGGCAAGCACTCCTTCCCTGGCACATTTTCCCATGGGAGACAAGCACAGGGGCCTTAAAATAAATCTGTCTTTTTAAAGCAGTGATGCTAAATGAAGGTTTGAGATCAAAGACTGGGATTCTCACATTTTGCCAAGACAGACATATCCATTCATGAGATTTTTGGTGTAACAAAATACTTGCTAATGAAGAGGATCATAATCTTATTATTAGCCCCAACCTAGCACAGTCATTTGAGAGCAGGCTGGAATATGTCCTAGTTTAGGAAGTTGCACAGTAGGCTTTGCTTTTGATTTAATGAGCTGTGATTGTGTTTATTTTCAGCAGAAACTATGCCCGTTAAATTTTGGTTGAAGGTCTGATCGTTAACGACAGTAATCGACGGGAAGGATGAATTTGGGTTGAAGGGAAGGAAAATGGAGACTGTATGTCTCTGAGAGTCAGTCCCCAAGCACGCAGACTCAAAGCTGCCAGCAGGCTCTGAGCTTTCTCTGCTTTTGCAGTGCTGGATGATAGGTTTTAAACTACTGGTCAAGTCAGTTAAGGGGATTTAGATATGAAAAAAAAAAGATTTTTGCGGTTATGGAGTGGGGCACAGAGGAGAGGCAGGTGTAGGAAATCAACTGTGGGGGCCAAACTTACCTCTTGAGGGATGAGCCATGGTGGGACGAGGTCATCAGCTGGCCTCTGCTATCAAGATCCCAGAAATTTTTAAGTGGGGGGACATGTCAGTAGTGTGCAACAACTGAACAAAACAAGACAGACAAGCAAAATGGAGAAGAAAGGGGAAGGGGAAGAGAAATATAAATGGAGATGCATACTTTGAAAAAAAAATTGCTACAGCAGATCTGGTTAGTGTAGGCACTGCTCTGGAGTTAGATGGGGCCCCATGTGGCAGGCTCTCTCCAGATTAACAGCCCTACCACAATGCAGTGCTGTTGCCTGTCTGGATAGCTGGAGCTGGGCCACTGAGCAAGAAAGGCAGGGCAGGACAGGTCACAACTCAGACGTCCCCCCTTCATGCTCTTTTTGCAGTTGTTATTTTTTTCTCAGCTTCCAGCCTGGTGAAGGATGCTGTGCTTGGTGTTTGACACCATCAGCCCCAAATGGATCCAGCACAGTTTATTTTCCAGCATCAAAGTGCACACGCAGACACATGCATGAGCATGTATGTACAGGCAGGACATCCATATGGGGCATGAAAGAAACACAGACATGGACAGACACATGAATAGACACACAGAGCCAGTTGTAGCCCTTAAAAGCTTGCCATGTACAATATTAAGATGAGTAAACAGATGCAGGTAAACATTACTTTCAAGCAAAACTTCTTATAATCCTACTGTACTTCAGATTCTCAAAAAACAAAACAAAACAAAACCTGAGCATGTCAAATTACAGGAAACAGAGGAAATCTGAGAGATACATCCACTTCAGAGGTAAAGGCTCAAGGTATCCATGACCTTAATAAACGAAAATTTTTTAAAAACGCTGTGTAGCATTTCCTCCTCAAGTCAAAGGCAAATCCTTTGCCGCCACTGAGCCTGCACCAGGCCTGGGCTCAATGTTCCCTTTCCCAGGCTGTGCCCAGCCGGGACACGAGGCTGTTGCCTTGTGCCAGGCAGCGAGGTGTTTAGCAGAGCAATCACCGAACAGCAGCTTGTCAACTCCAGCGCCTGTGAATTCCTGTGGCAAGTGTAAAAAAGCAGTTAATAAGTTGTTCTCTTTTAAAAGCTGTTTTTTTAAGACGGCCGTCCCTCTGGCGGGGCATCCCTCATCTCCGCCACGGCACGCAGGGGGTGTGTGTCCCCTACACCCCCTGCTCGGGAGCTGGAGACCAGACCCGGGGGTGGGGTGGCGGGGGACTGGGCCGGGGCAGGAGGTCACAGCCCCGGGGAGCTCCGGCGGCTGCTGGGCAGCTCAAGGGGCTCATTGTGCCCTGGAGGGGGGCGGTCCTACCCTCCCCGCTGGCCGGGGCCGGGAGCGGGGCGGGCCGGGGCGGTGCAGCCCCCCGTCGGGGCTGGGGCCGGGAGCGGGGCGGCGGCGGAGCCCGGGGCACCTCTCCATCCCGCGGTAGCCATGGCAGAGGGCTCCGAGAAGGTGCCCATCGCCCACGCTGGGGCCGACGATGTGGAGCTGTGCCTGCCCCCCGTGAGTGATGCGGGGCGGCACCGGGCGGGACCGGGTGGGATGGGGACAAAACCTGTCGTGAGGGAACGGGACCGAGCGGGTCGGGGTGGGACGGCACGGGTCGGGTCGGGAGGGGACGGGATGAGTTGGGTACCGGGATAGGTCGGGTCGGGTCGAGACAGGTCGGGATGTTACGGGACGGATCCGGACAAAATGGGTCGGGTGGGATCGGATCCGGACCGAACAGATCGTGATGGGGTCGTATCAGGACGGGTCGGGTCTGGTCAAGCCCAGGGCTCAGGACGGGTCGGGGTTCGAACGGGGGTGCCAGGGCGCGGGTCGCGCCGGGCCGGGATCTCTGCCCGCCCGGGGGCCCCCGCCCCGCCCCAGCCCCGCTCTCTCCGCAGGCGTACGCGGCGGCGGCGCCGCCCGGGCCCGGGCGGCTGCTGAAGGCCGGAGCCGCAGTGCTGATCGCTGGAGCGCTCCTGCTCCTGGCCGGAGCCATCGGCGCCTTCTACTTCTGGAAAGCCACGGAGCAGCAGGTGAGCGCGGTTGGCGCCGGGCCCAGCGGCATGTCCGCAGCCGGAGGCGGGCGGGCTTGGACTCTTGCACGTACGGAGAAGGCATGGGCTGGAAACTCTTCTTGCAAGGTCTATAAAGAGGTCTTTATTTTTCTCTTGTATTTTTTTTCCATGCTTTCAAAAATTTCCAAACACCTAAAATCCAAACCCATAATCGCCATCTTTGGTGGCTGTTTGGATGGAGCTTCCTGAAAGCACATTTACTAGCAAACACGAAACATCTTTGAGAGCACAGACTCTACATTGATTTCTGCTTGCAAATGCTCAGTGAACTCAAACCCCAACAAGTCCCTGGGGATTCACATCCTGGGCAAGCTCCAGCTCTCAGGACAAAAAAAGCATTGAAATGTGTAAATTCCTTTTTCACATCATCTGCATTCTTGATCCACATTCTACCTAGACCCTCAAGTATATAATGCTATAATTAATCCAGTAACAGGCACCATTATTTCACTCTGGTGCTTTGTATGACTGTGCATACACTTAGGCACTTTAGCTTAGCATCTGTGGAGCAATTTTTAAAGTCTTGGTAAGTTTTGTTATTTACAGTTTCTGGGGGACACAAAAACCCCATGAAAATGAGAAGCTGTCGGTCAGTGTAAGAACCAAACCTCAGAGCATTAGAACATGCTTACAGATTAACTTCTCTTTCTGTTTACATAGTATTTGTGTTTAAAGCATATTTGAGACATGATGGTACACACATAAATGTAACTTACTCCATAAATTAAGTTAGTATTCTTGAATTTACCTTGGAAGAAGTTTTGTGCTGCCTCTGGCCACACACCAGTCCTCATCAAGGAGAGCCTTGTGTGAATTCCAGCAACCGGAGCAGAGGTTCCTCTGTGAGACACACCCACACACAGAGCGATAATTCAGATAACCAGAAAGAAAAGTACAAGGTTTTCCCCCGGAAAGACAGGACACGCTGCTGACCTCCAAGACATGCTGCAAGAGCCATCTACTTCTCTAGGCTTTTGAAAAGAGAGAGGGACACGAATGGAGATACAGTGCATTCAGCTCTGAGGAGGTGGGTGCACTTGTGGAGTACAGGACAAAGTTTCACCTTTTTTATTGCTCCTATCATCTAAATTCAGCCTTGCAAAATATGTCACATTCACAGTAGTCATTAAGCTTCAATGTTGATCTCTAGATGTGAAGTTGATCTCCAAGTGAAGACACTGAGAAACCTGAGAGTTATTTTTCCAAGCTGCCTTCAATCTCAGAAAGCTGCACTTGACTTCCAAATGTTTAGGAAGCAGTCGTAAAAATTATATTCAGAGTCATTCATTAAAAAAATAGGGCATTTTTTAATCCTTATTTTTATTTTATATTTTTTAATTCTTCCTTAACTGACAGGGGTATCAAAGTCTCTACTCAAGCTCAGCCCCTATCAGGGGAGGCCGCATAGATTGGTCTGGTTCTATGAACCACATTCAACAGGAGTCCTAGACAGCTAAGAATATGGGAGTGACTCTGTATAACTGAGGAACCATGAATCTTTAGCACCTTAGACTTTCCTGAGCGAAGGTGAGAGAAGAAGAAATTTGTCTCTAGCTGTCAGTGTAAATTTTTCATTAAAATGCTGCAAAGGCTCTTTTAAGACCCAAAATAAACTGCTTGTGCAGCACTTCTGGCAGAGCTGCACAAGAGAATCACAAAACCCCTCCACAGATTGTGGTCCTCCAGCAAATACAAACCACGCTGCAGCTTCCCTCATTGAAAATAGGATAAGAGCAAATACGCTGACAAGGAAAATACAAGCCTATACAACTTCACATCCAATTTAAACAAAGTTCACATCCATTACAAGCTGGGAAGCATGTTCGTATTCAAGAGGAACCTGTTTTTCTGTGCCTCAGCAGCACATCCTAATACATAAATAGGGGTTGGTCTCCTTCAGAGTAGGACATTCACTCCTGCTCTCCTTTGGGAATCATGCCAGCATAACAAGCAATTCCTAAAATATGACCTAGAAGAAGGTTTTTAGGTCAGAGTGAACCCGGATGTGGACTCACCTCACATTGTTTTTGAGTAGAACTGTGAGCACTCCCTGGAAGGGGGACCTCAGGAGGTCTCTAGTCCAACCTGCTGCTCAGAGCAGGGACAGCTGTGGGGTCAGAAATGGTTCCTCAGGGCTTTATCCAGTTGGGCCTTGAAAACTTCCAAGGATGGAGACTGAACAACCTCTCTGGTCTAACTGCCCCACTACCAGCCTGCCCCGATGGTCCAGTAGTGCAGTGTTGATTGTTGGAGGGTTATCAAATGCTTACAGAAGCAAAAGTTAGGAGCTAAATAGGGATATGATAGTCAGATTGACCCACTGCCCAGTGTAGGAGGAAAGCAATAAGCAACTATTAACATGTGCTATTGCTCTTTTTTCAATTCCAGGTGTACAACGTTCACTACACTATGAGCATTAATGGAAAAGTACAAGATGGATCAATGGAAATAGATGCTGGAAATAACTTAGAGACATTCAAAACAGGAAGTGGGAATGAAGAGGCTGTTGAAGTACATGATTTTCAGATTGTAAGTACTGTCACCCTTGTCCTTCATGTAACATGCTCCACTGCTGGACTCTAAGGACATCTTGCCCTGCCCTGACTTCTCTGCCCCAGTCAGTCTCAGGTTCCAGCCTCCAAACATCCGCACAAACATTCTTACTCTCCTGGCTTGCTTTCACAGGGAGACAGGCAGTTTCCTCCTAAACAAAATCTAAGTGCTTTTTGGGAATAAGCCATGCCGTGTACCACTCCGGGAAGTAATATGGATTAGGCTGCATCAGATTTGGCTCCATGTTAACACTCTGCATTTTCACACCACTGAGCAGAACTATAACATGCAACCTTGAGATCTTGCTAGAAAAACATTCTGGCAGGCTGTGAAACAACCCGTGCATGATTTCCTGTCATTTGAACTGGAAAAACCACCTCCCCCAAACATACCTGTTTTAGGAGTATAGGGTCAAGACAGTGAGCCAACTAGACACCAAGGAGAGACCACTATACAGCACTTGACTTGGGGAGCTTGCTCTGCCCTGAGATCAAGGATGGGAGCTGCTCTCCATGGCTTGGCCTGAGTTCATCTCCAGGGGAGAGGATGGATGCGTTTAGCACAGATTATGCATCCATTCACCAAACGCAAGGTGCTGGGTCACTTGGATTGAAGCAAACACATTTGGGTACACCAGCAACTTGGCTGTGGCTGCTCAGCACAGAGCCTGGACCAACAGATGCCAAATCTCAGCACAGCTCAACAGCTTGGACAGAGTAGTTAACTGACCTGTACCACCCCTGAGCTACTAAAGGCACATCTATGTAATGCCGCAGAAACCCATTTACAGGGTCCAGACTCTGCAGTTAATGTTCTCAGGTGCAAAACACTCAACTTCAGAGTTAAGTCCTCTGTAAGTCAAAGCAGCACTGAAAATAAAGATGCTGCTGCTAGGAAGCATCTCTGCCTCTGGAGCAGCCAGCTTCCCCTTGCTGGATCTAGAAAGGCAGGGAAATTCAGCTCCTTGGCTTCTCAGCAAGTACAAATAAATCCATGCCAGGAGACCTTGGACCCCAACCACAGGACCCCAGCCACAGTTGCGGTTCTGCCTTTAAGAAACTCTCATTAACATCACCATAGCAACATTATTAGCAGATGAATAAGAGCATCTATAGTGAGCTCTTCTCATTTGCCTTTGTGATTTCACATCCACTCAAAAGCATCAGTCCACTGGAGAGATACTGAATTCATTTGGCCTCCACATGTGTTGCTGGTAAGTACTGCCTGTTGTAGCCAGGTCAGAAATCAGCTAAAAGGGCCTCCCAGGGACAGTGCCTGCTTGTAATTACAGAGGGCCAGGACCAGGCTCAGTGAGAGCAAAGGGATGCTGCCCCTTGGGTTTTGAGCCAAGAATGCACAAAAAGGTGAAAGCAATTGAAGAGATGTGCTTCCAAGGGACTAGTATTTACATCAGTAGCTCTGGATTGACTGCATTGCTGGAATGATTGCACAGTCAGTGAAGGCTTGGATTTGGCAATATTAGGGTACTCCTAGCATGCTTGGTGCATCACAAAGCCTTATTTCCTAGTGCCCCATCCCTGCACAGACATCCCCTCTCTTACTGCTCAACAATTAGTCACTTTGTTTTGATGGGGGTGTGCCTAGCTATACAGGTCCTGCAACATACAGGACATGACTCAGGTGTCCCAATACCATCCATCTCATGCTGCACCAGATGGCCAGGGCACCCACGATGCCCCTTCAGGGCAGGTGAGAGGGGCCATGCTGACACCCATGGCCCCTTGTCCTGGCAGCTAGAGGCCAGGCAGAAAACCAGCACATCTCAAAAGGCACTAAGTAATTATATTTCGGTGGTAGGCTGGAGCATGTACAACTGTATGAAAAACAAGAAGTTTTGTCATTTACCACAAGGTATCTAAATTTATAACATAAAAAAAGAGTTTTTTTATGGATACCCAAAAACCTACAGCAGAAATGCAGAAACTACAGACAAGGTTCCCATAGCAAAATGTTGATGCCTGAGGTTCTGGCACAGGTCTGGAAGGTACACCCCCAGACTTTCTGGAGACTTGCTCCCTCTGGAGCTCCTTCTCTTGCTTAAAACTAGACATCCATGGTTTATGCAATTGTGTTTCACCCTAGCAGGCGAGATGGAAGTCCCACACACAGATTTCTGCACCAAATTTCCCATCACGAACTTCCCCTTGCTGTCACAGCCACTTATGTCTATAAATTGAACTAAGCTGCCCCCATATTTTTGTAAATCTGTGTCACAAGGGTACCACACCACCAGCTAACACAACTTTGAGACTTCCTACGTTAGGTGCTAAGTTACAGTTCAAATCATGTCAAGTAATTCCTTAACAGAGCTACTCCAAGTAGCCTACAGCTTGCATGGAAGCACTTACATAAAACACTCCCCACTTTCAGAAATGAAGCAAAAACTTCTAGACCCATTTGACCAAAATTGTGAAGCTAAAATGATGAGGGAAGAGTGTTTTATTGCATCTGGTTTTAAATAAGATTATCATTCAGAATGAAAATTCAGTGGCAATTTTAGCAGAGCTGAGGCGCTTTCTTAGCGTAGTGAGGAGCTGGAGGGCTGTGCACAACCCTCTGCCTTCTGCTTTTGCAGGGCATAACTGGAATCCGTTTTGCTGAAGGAGAAAAGTGTTACATCAAAGCTCAGCCAAAAGCTCATGTCCCCGAAGTTGATGCTATGACTAAAGCGAGCCTCTCATCTGAGCTGGTAAGGGGTAATCTAATTATTTATTTTTCAACTACTCTTTGTACAGAGAGGGTCTTAAAGTGGTATTTAAATACAACTAAAAATGAGATTTGAAAGCCACTGTGGCTAGTTGTAGGGTTGTTGAGGATAATGAATGTTAGTTGAGGATTCACTGACTGGTTGCAAGGGGTCCCTGAAAGGTAAGAAAAGCAAGATTGGTGTCAGACATGTCACCGTGTCCAGGGACATCGTGAGAGGCTGCAGATTAGTGAGTGGGGAAGCCACAGACCGATCTCTAACAGATCCATAGGAGACCTCCATGACAAAAGCACCTGCCTGAGAATAAGCCGTGCACAAGGCTGGAAGGGAGAGCGTGGAAGAAGCAGCTCTTTTGTCAATGCAATCATGGTAAATCCCAGGAGATTTCTATCAATGCTCTTGAACAAAAGCATGGACTCCATCACTCAAGCCCTCTGAAATAGTCAATAAAAGGGAATTGTGGAAAATACGGCAAAAATTCATGTAACTCAGAAGAAACAATAATTTTTTAAAAATTAAGAAATTTCCTTCTTAGCGTCGAACAATTTTACAACATGGCAACTAAATTTCATAGAATCTGCATCACAGCCAGCAAAAAGGCTGCAGTTCTCACCCAGATACCGCCAAACGGTCTCCTTACCTCACTTTTGCAAAAAAAGGCTATTGCTTTATGTGCGCAAAGTCTGACTTTCCCAGAGCTCAGACCCCCAAACCCATCTCTCACACAGAAGTGGCTCCAGTGACCTGAGTATGCCTGAGCCTGGACACTGGTGGGGGCTCAGCCACTGTCAGGAGAGCACAGGAGAGTCACAACCTCTTTCCCTAGGTTTGCTCTGGTCCCAAAAGAATAAAAGCAGATACAATTAGCAAGGAGAGAGGCGCTGTTAAGGCTGTACCTACCTGCAATGGTGCTGTGATTACTGAACATCTACTTCAAAACTAAGGGGAAAAAGGTCTCCAAACCAAGTCGGCAAGGCAGTAGAAATGTTACAAAGCCCCCTGAAGCTGGTGGAATTTTCCCCATGGTGGGAAAGAGAAGTTGCACAAATTCCAGACAGAGAGCTCCATCTTTCCTGCCTTGCCTTATTTTAAAGGTAGCTGGGCTTTTTGACTTCACTAGCACTATTGCCTAAAGACAAAGTTTGAATTTTTCATCTCTTTGTAAGAACAAAGTCATAGACCTGAAGATATTATCCTAAAACAGTCAAAAAGTTATTTCTAATACTTTACCTGGTGACAACAAGCCTGTTTCCTTGTCCTGTTTTCTGTGCATTTTCTCCAAAGATGCATCACCTACATGAACACTGCAATGAATTGTATGCACCGAGGCCAAAACAAGCAGGCAACTCAGTGCTATCATTAACCTTTCCCTGACATTCGACTTTCCAGGCTAGATGTACAACAGGAATGGCAAAGTAGTATTTATTTTTCTAGAGCAAGTCCTCTCTCTCATATGCAAGTATTTAGGAGAAAGTATGCATATGCTGTTTTCTTACAACACATATCATAACATTGCCTAAAAAAATGGTTGAGTAAAGTGAGTTTTATAGATACCCAAATTCTGGCTGCTCACAAGTCAGGATCATCTCAAACAAAAACAAAGGGTATTTTTATTTCTGAAAACTAGACTTAGATATTTCTGATGTTGATAAAAGCTTAAGTGAGAGAATATAAATAAAGAGCAGTAGACAGATTGGAAAGCAAACTTAAATGACTTGAGACCTACAAAAGAAATCAATAAACACACTAAAGAAACAACAACCCAAGGGAATAAATTTATCTAGTCAGTTATATAACAAGTTTTGATGACTTTTATGAAAGCAATTTAGAATTTTAACTTTGAAACCACATTGGTTTTCATGATTCAAAAGTTGGTTTTCTTTTAATATTTCACTGTTGCTATAAAATACTTACACATTTTATGTAAAATAATACTTTGAACTAACAACTTTAAAGAATCAATCACTGGCATTTTCCTGCATTACTTTGAAGATATGAACCAAAAACCTGCAGGGTACACTTCAAAAAGGCAGGCTCCTTTAACTTGCACTTCAGGTTTTTGGTCAATTGAATTGCTTTTACCAAACAAGACCTTTAATCAGACTGATCACGTTGACTTAGAACTGGAAGCTGGAGCAGCTCACAAGCTATAATCCTTTCTAAAACTTTTGAACAAGATTCCACCCCCCACCCCCTGCACACATTGTAAATACAGTTATATTGGGAGTACATCAAATGTGAACGGGGCATAATAAAAGATTAGAGGCTTGGGTTTTGCTGGATTATTTCATTGCTGCTTTGCTGAAGGTGGTAAATCTTCACAGTTTCTACCACCTGGAATACTGATGCTTTGGGCTGAAAAGATCTCTGACACCCAGCCCATGCACATGGGGCAAAAGCCTTCCAGAAGTGAGATGGGTGAAATCATAGCCCCAGCGAAGCTGACAGTAGTTTTGCCCTTCGTTTCAGCTGTGGCAGGCTTTCCCCAGGCCTTGGCTCTGTAAAGTCAGTTCACATTCATGCAACAGAAGGATGCTCAGCATCAGTTGCAGCGGGTGATTATACAGTTTGGTGCTCAAGAATTAACAGAAAGCAGGCAGATGACTGCTCACTGAGCAGCAAAGGATTTACACTCTTCTATTTGCAGGAAGATGAAATCATGCCTGTGAGATTTGACAAAAATTCCCTTATCTGGGTGGCTGCAGATGAGCCTATCAAGCATAACAGCTTCCTAAGCCCCAAAATTTTAGAGCTTTGCGGGGATCTTCCAATTTTCTGGCTGCGACCAACATATCCCAAAGGTAACACTTCTTTTATTTAAAAAGTATCTTATCCCTCCCTTCATCTAAATGCCTTCCCGACATCACATTTGCCACTGAAACTTGCACATCTGGGAAACCAGACTCCTCTCCTCCCTTGCCCAGCCTGTTTTCCCACACCTTTGTGGGTTCATGCTGAGACTGTAGGCTTGAAGTTTATCCATTAGAGATTTTCCATATTTGTATTTCCTCAGACAATTTACACAGCCCATGTGTGTGTCTATGAGGTGAAACATTCCCAGAGAAATTAGCCTCCTTTCACAGAATGACAAGAGCTCAAACTAGCCCCAAAACGTTGAAGTAGCTGACACCAGGTAGCAGGAACATTATACCTGGCCAAGAGTTGGGGAATATCAAGCTCCTGGCCTAGGACCATAGCCTGTCCTGTTTCCTACCCTGCTTCTCCGGAGGATATCACTGGAGTGGAAGGATGAGATGCTTTAAGCTACCCAACTGGTGGATGGTTTATGAGGTCCTGGGGGCAGTCCCAACACTGAAGTACTCTTGTCACCCAGAGCCAAGTTTAGCAAAGGTGTTCAGGAGTCACGAGGGAGACAGCAACTTCTCCGGGTGACTTCCAGGCCTAGGAGGAGAGAAGGCTTGAAAAGATTTATTCTTCCTTGGTCCAGTTAATATCAGACCACTTGGGGAGGACAACACAAGCCAAAAAAAATTCACCACATTTTAGAGCACCTGTGGATCCAAGCTACCAACATTTTCCACTTTCCTCATGACTTTGCCTATCCCACTGGGCAACAAAGGAGCAGTATCAAAGCTGTCCAGAACCTGTTTCTACCAGGTTCCCCAGCTGTCCTTGAGAGCAGGGCACCATTCTGTCATAAAATAATTTTTAAAAAATGAGATGTGTATGACTGGTCTTGCTAGTGCTAGCAACTGCTGCTGACTTGGCATCAGTGACCACAGGGTGGGTCAAAAAACCCTCAACCAATCTTCTCACACACATTTTGCCTCAAGGAGGGGAAGAGGGGAGAAAAAAAGGTAATCATACTGCTTTGGATTGACATTGGCTGCAGATACAATAAAGAAAGGCAAGCAGCTCCCGTGGGGATGCTCATGGTTTACTAGCGCACAGCTTTGGCTTTCTCTCTGCCCTCTGTCCTCTCCTTTTTTCAGTATTTAAATAAATCACTGAAACATTAGATAAATACAAGGAACCTTCTGTTTATCTTTACTTTGAATGTTCAAGATTATCCTCTAGTGATTATTTCTTCAGATAACCAAAGGAGAGAAATTAAGAGAAACAAGCGCCAATCAGGATCAAACTTTGATGAGGAAGACTTGGAAGCTGCTGCTGAAGAAGTAAACCCCAGGTCACCTACTGTGCAACTGAGTCAAGAGCTTGATCACCAGTTTAATGACACCAGGCCAATGGGACGAGAAACAGATCAAACATTTAATCCAGACAACCCATATAATGTAAGTATTCGCACTGCAATCTTCTCTCAGAGCTCCGATGGCGATGTGGGGTTTGTCTATTTTTTTTTTTTTTTAAATCTGCACAATTTTGCCTGTTCAGCTTTACTCTGAAATAACAGACTTGCAAAACACCTAAGAAGCTAAAAACAGTCTTCCCTCAGTCCTCTTCTCCCAGTTTTGATTAGATTTCAGTCTGAAACAAGCATAAGTGCTTGAGGTCACAAGGGTAAGGCAAGTTGATGCCAAGTTGCTTTTTGGGGTTTCCAGGTTCATATGGAAACAGCACTGGAGATCTGGCAAGGATAGCACCTTCTGAAAACAAACCAAAGCTGGTCCTGATCAGACAGCTGAACCCCATCATTTACTATGTGAAGAGAGAGTCCAGTAGCTAGAAACATGCTTTGCTCTGAAACAGAAATTAGTATCACAAGTGACTGCTACAGAGGACAGCAGTAGTAGTAGCTGATTGCAAAGAGATTACGGTCCAGCCAAATAAATTTGTTTTTCTCAGCCTCTTCTCTATCAGGGTAAGCAACTCTAGTCTAGCAAGCAACTCGCAGAGAAGAATCTGTTTAGAGACAGCAACAGTGGATGGAGGACAACTATCATAAAACTCGTTCTCACCCTTCGAGAAGCAGCAGCACACAGAAAGAGCACAGGAGCCATCCTGCCGTGTCCCAACACTTCTGCTGCACTGCAGGAAAGCTGGCTGTACAGTAGGCACCTTCCAGTCTACTGCACCAGCGCCAGACAATTTACACCCACCATTTGGTGCAGCAGGAGTAAGTCATTTTAATACAACACTGTCACAAGATAAATGCCTCCTGCTTTGGAAGCAAGTCCCAGCTTTGACTTGACATTTATGCAACAGCAGGAGATCATTATACTGTGACAGCATTCTGCCGAGTTGACATCCCTTAATTAAACTTAAATTAATCACTCCAAATAAGGTGGATCTAAATCGACTCTCTCACGAGGTCAGTAAAACAGCAGTGGCACTGGAAGGTAACTTCTCCTCACAGCTACTAATGTGAACACGTCCATGAGGTCTGAGCTGCCCTGCCTCTGGAGGGCAGTGGCAGAGCAACTGCCACAGGTCTGTTCTTCCAGCCAAGAGCTGCCAGGCCAAATGGAGAATGGCCAGTCAGATACTGGTCATCAGACTTCCCTCAGCCTGCAGAGCAGGATTCACCTTCACCAACAGTTACTGCACAGATGCCGATATCCAAGCTTCCTTACAGACCAAATAATTTGATTGAAAAGGACCATTAATAATACTGTAGGTCTTTCCTGAAGGATGAAATCAATCCTCCCTAGAGCTATTTCTCTTCACCCATTGTAAGTGGAGCCTGGACAATGAGCTCAGGTGTAGAAGTTCACAGCGCAGGTATCTGAATTCAAGGATGATGAATCCCAACCAAGGAAACAACATCCTCCCTGCTCTCAGAACTGGGAATGAGTTGCTGGGGTCCCAAACAACACCCAGCTGTCACCAGTGCCCTGTACAACCCCAGTCAAGAGATGGCACCTTTCCGTGTCCCACCTTTTTGTTGTGCTGCTAGTTTTATGAACGACAAATGCTCAGGTAAAAAGCTGATTGGTACTTCAGTATTTGTTCTTTGCTGCTGCTTTTCTTGAAATAACACCAATGGGCAAAGAACAACTGAGCTTCAAAAAGCAGAATATCCAGGTTACCTTTTTCCCCACAGAAAGGAGGAAAGGAATTTTGAAGGGTAAAGGCTTTTATGTATGCTTTGCTCCATTTAACTCCTTACTGTCAGCTACAGAACAGGCAGAATTCTCACTGTCCACAACGCACCTAAGTGTGGTGGGGGTGGGAGGGAAGGAAGCAGACAGAGACAAGGGAGAAATACTCAGAAAACTGCAGGGGACCAGGGGAATACTTTACAGAATAGTTTCCTAGGAATGCTGTAAAAATCATTAAAATACAAAAATTTAAACAAAACATAAGACAGCATATACTTCAGGCATCATCACCTACACAAAAGACTCAGATAACTGTCTTGAAATCTTTTTCATCACTAATATTTAAAACTTAGGAGCTTTCTGTTGCTGGATCTTTTGCAAGGACTGTAGAAGAAAAACAAGGAAGCTGGAGCTGCCTGTTGTTCCTTCCATTTTACATGCATGATTGCACCAATTCTACACTTCTGCCAAAGAGAGCAAGACAAAAGAAAAAAAATAATAAAGCAAGATGCACGGGTCACTTAGTGGGAGCTTAGTTAACTTCCACAGGCCCAAGACTTCAGTTTTTACCCTTTGTGGGGTTAACAGGAGCATGGGTTTGTTCTGCCATTCTGTGAGAATGAGAGCACCGGGATGACATTTAATATTCTACATTTCAGCAGCTAGAAGGTGAAGGGATGGCTTTTGACCCCATGCTGGATCACCTGGGCGTGTGCTGCATTGAATGCCGGCGCAGTTACACACAGTGCCAGAGAATCTGCGAGCCCCTCATGGGCTACTACCCGTGGCCTTATAACTACCAAGGCTGTCGCACTGCCTGCCGAATCATCATGCCCTGCAGCTGGTGGGTTGCTCGTATCATGGGTGTTGTGTGAGAGAAAGCCTTGACAAAAAAAGTTTTTTAAAAAATCAGGAGACTTGACAATATAAGCAGGAAAGGAATGCAATGACAACAAACTGGTAACAGATTACAACCAAAGCAGCAGTACCGATCCTGGTTTTCAAAATCAAAGTACGTTTTACTGCACGGGAAGCAAGGTCAGATATTCTAACTTCAAATTAAAATCTTAAGTTAATATTCTATTAGATTTACAAGTGACAAGAGTATATTAGCACTTGTGGAATTAAAAAACTGAGACATTCCCCAAAAAAGACAATAATAAACTTTGCTCACAAACTGGTTTAGCAGTCCAGAACCTTGCCTATAAACTCAGCCTTTCGTAACAAAATCCTCTCTTTCCAAGCTACACGTGAAAATTTATGTCCAATTAGGCAACTAGCTCAACTTTTACACTTGGGAGTGCCTTTCATCCATGTAGCTTACTTAAATAAATCACAAGTTAAGTTGCTCCCCGTTGCTATTTGGAGTTGCCAGGTCATTATGAATGGATATAAACCAATTACAGCATACCTTTCCTCCAAAGCTGCTCCAGGGGACACGGGAAAGCACACATTGTGCTAAATTGGAAACAAACAGCAGGAAAAGGGGCTGTAGAAGGGAATGTGTGTGGCTGCAGAATCAAAACCCTTCGCACATCCCAACATCAAAGAAGCCCCAGCATTAAGAATCTTGTATCCATGATACCACTGTAGTGTCTAACAAGTATCTGCTACCCAGTTACTACAGCAAGAGTATTTACATGCAGTTGCAGACCAAAGAGCCTCAAGGCCCTTCAGAATCTGCAACAGCCACTGTTATTTATAAATCCTTGAATTAGACACTTTTGACACAAGATTACAACCCCTCTTTATTCCACATGGATAGCAGCCATTCAGACTAGCTCCTTCAGCCTCACTGAAACTAACCTCCATTCCCTGAAGAGAAACTGCTTACCAGCAAGGATAAAAAAAAAAAAAAGAAAGAAAAAAGAAAAGGGTTTCTCACCTCACCCTTTCTGGTTAGGCAAACTCTGCAATTATTGGTATTGATGCTATTACATGTTAAATCTCTAAGGAAGGTACTAAGCCAAAACACTCAAAGATGGAATGACTTACTATTGACTAGCCTTGAAAACCAAAGATAGAGGTATTATACTGCCTTCATCCATACTATACATCCTGAACCCTACCACTGAGTTTATGGAGCCATTTAGATGGTCTTTATGAAAAAAAGGGTCCAATTTTTCTTAACGTTCACTTTCTGGAGCATTCACTTTTTTGACTAAACAGCTCTTGAGATGTTGCAAGCCCAGTAATGTTATTAACACTGCGTGACACACAGAAAAGAGGAATTAATTTGACATAATCATGGCTTAAAGAAAATAAAGACAACCTCATGTGAAATGCTAAACTGCATATCTAAAAAGCAAAGTGTTAAATGAGAATAAGATGAGACTAGAATTCAGTATTTTGTTCTATTGTAACTTTTTTAATGTAAGCTTCACCTTCCCTTAATCTGAAGGACACACTCGCTTTGAAATATTTAAATTATAAACTTCTTAAAGTGGGATTTCAAGGCCTGTTAACTTTGAGTTTCTCCTTTTTAAACTGAAAATGACCTTGATCATTATGTTGTTTTAGCAGTACGTCATTCATATGCTTAGAAAAGTCAGGTTTCCTTTTTTTTTTTTACTGCACATTAAACAAATACATTAAAAAACAACAATTGCTTTCTGTGTCTTTTTCAATGTAGAAACTGTAACAATTCCTTTACATACTCGTTCAAGAACTGTCTAGAGAGGAAAGGAAGGGGATCAGCAAGTGAAACACTGAAGGCAAAAGTGTTATATATATATATAACATATATAGCTGAAGTATACCGTTGCTGTCTTGCATCTTGAGGCAACCTGTGACCTGCTTCTCTCTGTCTCCCCCCATAAAACAAAGACTCCTTCTGAAGATACAGAAAACCTTTTTGTAGGTGATTTACCTGTCTACATATTCTTTACAAAATTGATTCTTCCTAAACAAAAGCTTGCATCAGCTGCTTTCTATAGGCAGTTCCAAAGCATGCAAGAAGTAAAAAAAGCATCCTACTCATGGATGCGTTAAACTGTCACATACAGCATGTACGTTTCAAGAACACTTCTGTATGCACCATGCCAACAAAGCCCCAGTGATCATAAAATTTATCCATTTCCAAAAGATATGCAACAAAATGCCATCCTCAACTCAAGCTTCAAACAAACAAATTCCTATTTACCTTCATATCAGATTCAAGGAAAGAAAAGTAAAGATCTTGTGCTGCAGCAAGGTTGAAAAGTCTTACTTCAGCACATCAATTTTGAAGGAAAAGTTCTGAGGTGACACAGGAACAACAATAAAACCAACAAGCCAACAGTATGAAAAGACACAGCGATATTCCCTGCAGTGGTGGCTCAGACTCCAGCTCTAACTATCTGGAGCGATCCGATTCACTGCTATACAGTATTTACTGCTCACGCTGAAATTTTTCACTGCCACCACAAATTTAATACCTTGGCACGCTAAAGGCATTCCAACATGTCAGCGTTTGGGGGGGTGGGGGGTGGGATTTTCCTGCAATTTGACCCTGTGCTAGAAGAAACCATTTGGCCAAAGTTTAGGGGAGGAGGGAAGAAAGAGGAAGGACCTTGTCATCAACAGTATTTCCCACCACAGGTGGGTGGATGTTTGTCAGAGCACTGCAATTCTACTATCCTTAAAACTTAATTACCCATGTGATTGTGTACTAGGGGGATTAGGATGGCACAACAGATTAGAGCAGAAAAAGGAGATAACTTCAGGCTGGTGGAAAAGAGAAGGAAAACGGGAAGCAATGCCATAGGGTTAAAAAGACTGAAAGCCAGTGATGGAAAGGCAGGAGTCTCTTCTCTGAACCTACAGTTTGCTTTCTCCCCACTTAAAACAAATGAACCAGAGTCTCTCTCTTTGTCCTTTTTGATACAGGAATCACCCTCCACTTGTATCTACATTGAAAAATCAATAAGAAGCTGGGAAGCATGGAAGTGGGGGTAGGGGGAGGAATCTGTCTTCTGCCTCCCACGTAACACTTCACCCCTTATTGCAGCACAAATAAATTCCAAGGAAGTTTCACTGAAGACTAATCAGTTGTTTCATGCAGTGTAGTAAAAAAAAAAAAAAAGGAAAAAAGCGTAAAACTACAATTGGCAAAGAACAGATTGCTGATTGACACATCAGGGTGAACAGAATCTCTGCTCAGAAAGGGCAAGAGTTAGACTGAACCAGGAGCACCACCATCTTCTGCTTCCAAGATCAAGTGATCTTTTATAAACACTGTACCTATACCAAAGATGAGAGACACAGCCTTAAGCTGCAACAGACAGGCATCTTTCCCCAGACCAGGAGCAGAGTAACCCCATCTGTGGTATTAAATGGGAAATCTACTGTTACCTCTCACTGTCCTGTTCCCATGTTTGCAACAGATGCACAAATCAGAGCACTGAGGTGAAACGACCTGAGTCTTCTAGACAGTACTATTTACAGATGACCAAAAGGCTTGGGGGAAAAAACCCTCAAGAGGTTTGAACACAACTAAAACATCATCCACTCTGTCCTTGCATGCACTCATTGCCACTGTATCTTTCAGAGCCTCTATTCAACCTCCAAGCTCCCGCTACCTTTCTCTGGACCTAGGGCTTCTGGAACCGTTCTGTGTGCGTTTTGTCAAGAACAAAACATACTGTTCACAAAGTTCATGAAGCACCTTCTCCCCAGCTCTGTAAGGAAATTTTGCCTACTGCTTTAATCCAATCCCCTCCAAACAGAAGACAAATTCAACAACGCATCCCCACATTCCCCTTCCCCCAAAGGCAAAAAGAGCAGCATTATTGGTTCACCTAAACTCTAATGCGGAATACACACAGATTATCTGCCTGTGCTCAGAAACATGACGGAATTATGTTTAGACCTGCAAACTTGGTTTACAGGATTGAGATGGACAGGGAGCTCTACCACTTGATTGCTACAAGTTTTAGCCTGAAGCTAAAGCATTATATTTGCATTACATATGCCTCAGGAGTACATAAATAGCGATGCATTTTATTTTACTTTTTGCCTTAAGCTAAGTGACTTGAATCTCAAAGCAATGAAACAGTACCCACTTAATACAAGAATATATTGTGCTTATCTGATGAAATACTCCCATGGTCTTTCAGTAAGTGAAAGTAGACAGAGGAACTTCTACTGTGTTCTCTTCAGTAACTAAGAGCAACTTGATTGGCAGAAAATATCCACACATTACTTTTTAATTTCTATTTAAGAGATTTTTATCTAGGCCTTTGCCCATAGCAAGCCTTCGCTAAGCACTGTTAAGTGCTCTGAATGACATTTATAAAGCAAGGTTGGCCAGGAGACAAGAACCCAATTTTCTGACAAAGAGAAGCACTCAGACATTTGTCTTCCTTCTACACTAGAAAGGAAGAAATGCTTTTCAAAGCATAATAAAAAGCAGCAAAGCACTTATCCAGGAGAATCGAGTTCAAGTACCTATCCCACATCAAGTCAACTTCAATGTTAGCATCCCATATGGATGGCAAATGCTCCACATATTGAGCTACTCAGAATTCTCTGAAAGTCAAGAAAAGCTCCACTGAAGCTAACAAATCCCTGAAACAGGGCACAAGTATATTCTTTGAGAAACTCTTCCAAGCAGATGTTGTTCAGTAAGTGACAAGAGGTAAGGCACACACAAAGCCATTCCTAAATCCAATTTACCCCAGTTCATAGTGTTCGAAGAGCAGTATGACATTCAGTTCTGAAGGTTATCAAATTTGAGCTTTGTAAAACACGAATCAATTCTGAATCCAGAAGTGATGCAAAAGAAACCACTGCCCAGCTTGCACTATAGGATAATCAGGATCAGAGTGCCTGAAGAAACTGCAATTATGTCAAGACTGTAGTCACAGCTACAGCTGTCCACTATGACTATCCAAAGTTCATTGCTACAGCATACATCTGAAAACAAACTCTCTTTTTGGGATTTGTGAGACTTTAAAATCTTGGTATCTCTCTACTGTACAGGCACAGTAACAATAGCAGGAAAAAAGCCACTGCACTTTCCCAGCATCACTGCAAAATCTAGATTCCTGTTCCTCAGAAAGGACAGAATACATCCTTCCTTCCTCCTCTTTAGTTTTCAATCATCATTAATTACTGAACAGCTGCAGACTTTACTCATTCTATTCAAACACCTGTTCTAACAGCCTTTATATTTTACCAAGCTCCTCCAATTCACACTGCAGTAAATTAACCTACTCAATACAAAGAAAACAGGTAGAGTAACAAACAATCAGGAAAACCGCACATAATTAGGAAAGCAAGGAAAAGTAGCAAAATTAGAGAAGCAGCCAATAGTTAGTAAGGAATGAAGTGGCTTTCAGGGTGCTGTCAATATTTGCAATTCATGGTGTTTTCTATGATCACAGAATATTTAGGTATCTCTGAATTCCCAAAAGACAGTGGCACATGGACTAGGCATGTTCAGCACAACTTTGTGAGTTCATGTCTCTTTCACAGAACAGCTGAGGTCGGAAGGCACCTCTGGAGATCACCCTGTCCAACGCCCCTGTCCAAGCAGGGACACCTTGAGCCAGGTGCCCAGGACCATGTCCAGGTGGCTTTTGAGCATCTATACACCCTTTTAGACTTGTATCTAGGTAGTACAAACATAGACAGTACTTACATTCTCAGTATTAGTTCTTTTGTAAATATTCTCTCTATATATTGTTATTTACAATTTGGTCACGACAAAAAAAGCTGCAAAATTAAGGATATACAGGTTCTTCTCTAAACACTGTCCAGTATTCAGAACTTACAGAACTTAAAGCAACTGCCTGCTGTCTTTGATTTCAGGCAATTGCAAAAGATCCTTCTTTTGGAATACACAAGGCAGACAGAGGACCCATTTTTCTGTAAGAATTTCCAGTCACACCAAATTTTCTACCTTCCATCACTTATGACTAC